AACGAGAAGAAACCAGCGCAGCTTGATTGTTATGTCTAGCGCTTCTACAGTGGAATTTACAGCGTGCGCTATGGTGGCGATCTGATCTATCGGGAGAACTGCACGACTTTCCTGCGTTGTCTTCAAAAAGATCTTGCTCACCGCGTGGATGTATCCCTTGGTATCAGCGCTTGTCAGCTGAAGATATTAGTTGGCGGACAAGTTCTATCACATTTTTCACATTAGGCTTTCTTTCTATAGAGAGACGCGTAAGATCTCACTACAGTATGTTCGAAAAGCGGTCTTTTTCCAAAAGCTTATTATTGATCTATCCACGGCCTCCTCGCTCTTCAGTCAAAACTGATGCTACTTCGCTGACGTTTCCTTCGTGTAAATTTGTATCTGGTGGTTACGGTTATCTGGTGGTTACGTTTCCTTCGTGCAAGTTTGTATCCGCAGGAGCGATTCATAAGAACAGTCGCTCCCGAATTATCTTGTTATCGGATTAGATAGACATATTTGTAAAAGGCACACAGCGCTGAATTTAGCTAGAAGATCTGTCATAGGACAAACGAAGATCCCAAGTTGAGCAGAGCTTCCAATTCTTTGCCAGTTGTGTCTGTTCCGATCACCGTATGTTTTGATGGGGTCGCATTCAGGTGAAATGAAATGGAAAGTGAAATAAAATAAATTCCGAGGATGAGTTTGTAATCGAAGGGCTGCCTGTTCTCTTGAAGTTCAATTCTTACGCGATTCCTGTGAGCACAGCACTTGATTTGGCTTGGAAATCGCTTGCTATACGTAGCGATCCAAACTTTTCTGAAGGAAACTTTTCGTAGTTGTGGTTTCGTGTGCGCAATGTGATCTCCGACGTCGACATTTAGCAGTCTAACAGCATTATGTATACACATCTATTGTTTTATAGAATTTGACGAAGGTGTTGTAAGCAAGCCGTGTTAATACTTTCGATAAACTTCATGTTGTGAAGATTGTAGTACTGCGTATTTATAGACTGATGACTTATTGCTACCCAAAAAAGCTAACAAATAGTAGTTGCATAGACAAATTCTCAAAAACCCTTCGATGTGACGATTTATTATTTTGGGCGCTTCAATCTTGGCGGTTATTGTTTTCTGCATACTTTATATTAACCATTTCACTGGCAACTCACAAAGCAATGGAAATTGTCCGCTGCAGAGCCTTGAGCCTTCTGGCAGTCAGCGTTTTCATGGCAAAGTACGACCTCAGGATGGCCTGCTTGAGTCGCTTTTGTTAATGGATGCGATCTTTCCTTAGCATCGCTTGCCATGCACATTTGATCTCTGTCTAAAAAGAAATGACATTATACAGATGGCAGTGATGCTCTGTTAATCTTTTGAGTAGCGCATACTATCGTGCGCAGCGAAGCGTCGAAATATGCAATTTGTGAGACATGGCCCCTGTGAGATATGGCCCCCGAGTGACACCAGAACCCTTACCATCGTCTGCTCTTTTCTCTGAGTTGGCCGCATGGATACCTACACAACTTACGAGGAAACCTAAGCCTGCCAAACCAGCCGGTGACGCAAGTCACAGTTGCGTGCGTCCTCCATGCAGACTCGCTCCCGCTGCTCATGCAGTATCTACCTTCAGATGCGTCGTACTTCTCCATGCACCCCGCATGCAGATGTAAGATGTTTTATATGGGACCTATCAACTCATTTGCTGCTTCTCATCATAACTCTATGGAGAGCCATCATGCCGCCGAAATACAGCTAGTTTACCAGCTCGGTTAACGTTCTTATAGATAAAGGAATAGAAATCAGTAGTGCATCAATCATTGAGCCCGAAAGCACGGCATTATTTTCTTTAGCAGCATAGCAGAACTTGCTCCCGAGGCTCCAACACTGTTGTCTCGATCTATTGTTGCCGCTTTCTGTCGCCAGGCGTCAACGTCCCCATCTTGCAATCAACGTCATAAGAGATGGAACCGTATCCCTATTGGTGGCGTCTTTTTGCGAGGGGCGCTAGAATTTGATCCTAACTTTCTGATTTGACGACCCTCTTTTCAGCGCTCTTATCGGCTCATAACTGTTCTGATACCATTTGCAACTGACCTGTTAAGTTCCCGTTCCCGTCCCACTGTCTAAATCACTTCCTGGAACTGACGTTCCACTATCGTTCGTGTTAACCACGCTATAATTTTGATGACCTCCTGTCCAACGTCCCTTTTCAAGTTATCATCACTTCCTGTCATCTACAACTAGTGTTTCCGACGCACACTCTACATCACATATTAGGAATAACGTCTCACTGCTGCTGGAACGGTCCCTTGAATTTCATAATAAACACGCAAAGCATACACGCAGACATACTTAGCTTATTATATCTACTGGGATAATGACTTATCATGATAACTCACTAAGGCAGCACTGTCTGTCTCCTACTCCTTTAGAGCAGTAGTATACACCATCCGCAAACGAATACTTGCCAGAGGGATCTGTCTTGCATTCGTTGTCATCATTACAGCTCGACCCAGGTAGCAAAAACTGCAATGAATCCATTCTCAAGATCAATAGAAATTTTATTAAAGCTCATATAAAGCACTCACATCGTTCGGGTTGCAGTCACTTCTAACGTAATGGAACCGTATTAGAATCAGAAAGAGCAGAAATCTCATCGCAAAGCTGAAAACTCAAACAATTTTTGCTAGTCTATCGTACTCTGCCCTAGGAATAGCAAAAGCTTCAAAAGTTGAGTACTGGTTTGTCTAAAGATACTAATTCGGCTCACATTAGTCTGGCTAACGCATCACACTAGCGGCTACTGCGCGCATAACATTAAACCTTGCGGAACTGATGACGTGCCCTTTTTGTGATAGCAACAACCCCACTTCCCTTAGAATCACTTCAAAAATTTGGTACTCGGCCCAAAATGCTAGTAGGGCGCTATATAGCGGGCAAATGGCGAAAAAACGAAGTGAAACGGTCAAAAACTTGCAAAGAAATGCTTTCGTTTCGAACGGCTCGAAAAACAATGTTGGACGAGTTCCCTAGAGGCACTTGCCATTGACGCTACGGTAATTACGGCTTACTCATATATCCATGCAACACTGCAGCCGCTTCATTCTATCCCTTCGCCTTATGTTTACTAAGCAAATAAGCAGCACGGTCGTCCATTTGTGGGTGGGATAACTCCCTTGGAAAAGGCGCTACCCTGCGCTTGCTGTCAGACATCAATTACCGTGTCTCGTGTTTATCACACCATCAAAGACATTCAACGGTCGTTGGGCTCGAGTAGTCCATACAGTACCCAACGCCTCCTGTCAGACATGGTAATTGATGTCTGACAGGAGGCGCAGGGTACGGCTCAGTAGTGACATTAAATGTTTCCACATCTCATTATTAACCCTTTCGCAACAATAGTGAAGCAGTTTCCACATATTTTTCCCTTATTAGCTCTTATCATCCATGTCTGACAAGCCTACTATACAGGGGGGGGGCAAAAAAAAGACATTTCGACCGAGTCACATATCAGCAAAGTTTTCGCTGCCCAGAGAGAAGACGTGGATACGAGTACCAGGGCGAAAGATACCCAAGATGTTCCTCTATAAGCAGGAGCTGGCTCTCGCCCATCACCTTCATGTACACCAAAATATGAAGTCATCTCCAGCCGCAACCTGACTGGAGAAGACCTTCGGAATTCATGTCACCTCCAAACAGCTGCGAAACTTCTAGTGGAGTCACCCATGGATAGCTACCTGGAGAGCAGTACTCTCGATCTGGAAGACCTCCATCATCGAGCAGCTCCGTCAACGTCGCTACGGTCTAGGACATCATCTTCACCTCAGTCGCCAAGGCGCCAGTTGATGGTGGGGACCGGACGTACCTGGAATGGAGAGACCGATATTTTCTTCGTGGGCCCCGGACTAAAGGTGAGCGCTGGCGGTTACATCGAGCAACTCGAGAAGAATATCCTCTCCACATGTCGTCGCCCGTACCTTCTTGGAAACTTTGTACTGCTACAGGATTGGGTGACACCACATGGAATCAAAGGGCGTTGGGAAAACTCTTGCCTACTTGGAATGGAAGGGCGTTGAGTACCTGAAGAAGGTGGAATATCTAAGCAGGTAACCTGACCTAAACCCCCTCAATTACCTGGTTCGGGCGGAGTTCAATAGGGTGGTCTACAGTGGCGGAGAAATCAACGATCTCGCTGAACTCACGCACCCACTGACGGTCGCGTGGCAGAATCTCTCGATGGCGCTCCTCCAGAAGGCTGTGGCGGAGTATCATGATAGTATTTGATATGCTCTTTAATATGGTGGTAGAAATGTCCGATAAGAATTTATAAAGTGTAACTTATAGCGCCTCGAAAGTCGAGGAAGAAAAAGTCTTTTTTGCCCCCCCCCCTCTGTATATCCATTGAATTATCATAGCGATCTAAAGCTTCGCCTCCGCACAGAGACCCCGCCCAACACAGCAACCCTGCCTCCAGATATTGGAACGAGAACCGCTCCGAATAAATGCATGCGATTTTCAAGGCAGCACTAAAGCTAACCGCGTGACTGGATAAAGTTTGAAGGGAAATATGAGTTCTTTTCTGAAAGTGATTGGAGCAAGAACAAGCTTCATATGAGTGAGTCCCATTAATTTAGTTGAATTCAGCCGCTAATTTAGTTGAGCTTTAACGTGCCAACAAATAAACACCGTGCCAACAAATAAATGGAAAATTACCGTGGTCCTGGAATTCTGAACATTGTGAGTACGACGCGAGTATATTCTGCTCATGAGTTTGCCAAGGATGTTCACAGACTGAAATGCTTGTTGAAGAGGTAGGTACTAGTTTCATTAGGTAGGTGAGGAAGTTCTCGAAACGGGAAGCCTTCAACATCAAATCAAAAAATAAAAGTAAGTAGTAAACAAACTTTCGCGAGTAAAAACGTTTGACGGGGCAGAGGTGGCGACACAGGGGCAAACTGCCCAATCCTCGGGCTCCAAGTCCGCTGTTTCCGCCCAGAACAACCGAATATTCTATCTCTGTGAGACCGGTAAATTGGTACCATATTCGGCTGGGAGGGTAAAAGCGTTAAATCATATATCGGTTGGTCCCCGCAAGTCATAGCGAAGGCCACGTTGCATTCTGTGACCTATTGCAATACTGAAAGGAACCAAATGCGAGGCACATCCTGATCAAATTTTTATTCTTCTTTTCCTCAAAAAAACCTATCAGCAGCTATAAACTACTGCAACGCAAACCAAGCAAGGGAAATCCACTGAAACAGGTTTGAAGTTCTCGGCTCGAGGATGTAATGAGAAGCCTCTTCGCTTCTGCTGGAATGAATAGACAAACGTTCCTGAGTCTGACATCCTGATCGCGAGCGTAGTAAGCGGGCAGCTTGCCATACACCACCTCCGCCTCAATATACTGGATTGTTTTTCACAATGGCAACGGCGCTGTTCGGCTTGGGAGGGGCATTTACGACTTCGATAGTAAACTTTGACCTCGAAAAGTTCGTAACTTTACAGCTAACAATGAAGCCACATTACTAGCTAGCGAGAGGCTAGGTAAAAGTGAGCACAGCCGGTGAACTTTAAAAAAGCTACGTGTAATTGGCAGGCGGCACTTTCGTGTCACCTGTATGCTCTCATGAAGCTGCAAGATGGTGCTAGCGAATCATTTTGGTCACAGGAATTACAAGTATGTACAGGGGGCCTGCACACAGTGTGCAGCAACATGATGTGTGAAGTGGTGGTGTCAGTACTATCACCGACTATCCTACGAGTGAGGGTCTCGGTATTCCTCCCCTCCCCCCCCCCTTCCTCCTTCCCCAACAACTTCCTACCACTCTCCTACAAATTGTCAGCTTCCTACCAGTTTTTCACGCGAAAGTTTTCGTCGGGCAGGGGGGGGGGGCAGAGCCAATGTAAAACGCCTAAAAAGCGCGCAAACAGTCATCAGCCCGGGAAAACGCCCGGCCCCAAATTTCTGGTCCAAGCATTATGCCGATCTCCCTTCTCCCAAGAACGATCCCCGAATAAGGACCCCCTTCCCCAGCGGCAAGTACACCCCCCCCCCCCCCCCCCCCCCATGCGCTTCACAATGATGCGGTACCCTACTTGCGTGGAGTAGCATTTGGTGGCCCAACGATGTCGAACTGCACCCAAAAAAGTTACAAAGTGAGAAATACATGAAAAGAGGACCACACAATAACCACAACTAGCCAATCAATGAAAAATCATTGAAAATGAAAAATAATGGACTATGTTGCAAAATGACGAAAAACTTTTTTGAAAAACCAATGACTTTAACTTCGTTCATTTCCTTCACCAACCATTATCCAACCATTATCCATCATTAGCTCAGCAACACAAAAAATTGACTCCACTTACCGTCTGTATAGACTTCTTCGCTGCTGTCGTCGTCACGTGAGGCGGACGATTGTAGAATAATAAGAAGAATAAGTGCACACCGCATACGTGCAGGTCTACAGTAATCACACGCTTTCAGAAATGGCTTGCACGTTTCGTAGCGTGACAAGGACAATGTTGACCAAACTGATCCCGTTCGAGTGATCATGACCGATTGTTGACCATAGCGACTCATGGACCATATCACGTTCAAGCATCATGAACATCGTCTTCGTCCTACTGAAGTTGTACTGGTTACTTGTTACGAGATCTAATGCACAACCACCAGTTCCACCACCTGAAAGGACCAGGTTTCTCTCTGTTACTCTTGTGTATTTTCTTATGAAGTGAGTGCGAGGTGCGCACAAGCTACTTAGCCGCAATAATGAGTTATTTTCAATGTACTACTGCTGTAAAATAGAAACAAGTTTGCTCTTCAAGCGAGCGCTTATGTAGTTCTTTCAATATTTTATCCTCATTTTATTGCTGCTGAAGGACTAGGCTCGTTACAGATTGCTCTCTCAGCTGGCAGTCGCATGACTTAACGTATGTTCCGACATTGTCCCAGTGCTTAGACTACACGGAAGGTATATTTCTCCTGGTCTATTTTCAAGGTTTTTTATTAGATAACCAAATCTTGGATCGGATCCTATCCAGGCCAACTAAACCGTCCGCCCTTCCGCGATCCTTATATTTGTACCAAAAAGGACTAGGTTAGAATGTTGAGTTGCACATCAGTTGACTCCTGGAAGTCATTGCTTAGACTAGCAGTAAGCTCCAAAAGGGTCGGTGCGAAAGCAAAACGTGAGGTATCTTAAAGAGGGTAAGCTAACGTCAGAAGCTCAGCTTTTCAACTTTATGGTTGCTAAGGGCAAATTATCTTTTCCAGTGTGAGGCCGAATCGCGCAAAAACTCTTGAAGTTCTTTGGGCCTTGCTGAGAAAGGCGGTAACAGCCGTCGGTGGCCATTTCACGGTCAAGCGCTACAACTGTGCCCTCACACGCCTCGGGTGCCCTCAGACATGAACAGTGGGAGAGTTGGTGCTTCTTTTGAAATATCAAAAGTTCCACTCACTCTCGCTTGCCTGTTCACCTTCTAGTGCAATTAATTATGCTCTTCCTGAACACCATTACGACTTTGGGATCTTTCCAAATTTTCATGCTGTGATTTTGCATTTTTGCGAATTACAGACTAGGTAGGCTAGAAGGAAACGTCAATTTAGAAAGAGTTAAAAAATAGCAGGGCAGAATTGCTTCTACTTACTTTCTTC